GAGCCGGGCATATGTTGCAAAAACGATCGCTCGAATTAAGGAACAAGCAAAGAACTCTCATGATAAACCCGCGCAGATTGTGCAAGATGCAATCATGAGCAGCCCCCAAAATGTGTATCCATATCTCCCGTCCTCCAATTCGATTCGTCAAACAATTCACCGGGTTCGACATATTGATCTCTCTACTGAACCTTCATCTTTGGAAAATTTGTTCATTCCCGAAAACATGAAAACAATATTGAATGGTCTCGAATTTTTGATTAGTGATTCTGTTGTAGGTCAAGGTCGAATATTAGTATTTACAACCGTTGACAACGTGCGGCATCTTAGTCGATCTCGTTTCTGGCTTATGGATGGGACCTTTAAAACGGTCCCAACTTTTTTTAGACAACTGTACACAATCCATGGTAACTTTTTTTTATTTTTTTTTTTTTATATTTTTATTGGGAAATTCTATTTTCACCTGGGTTAAAGTCACCTGATATATAATTTCTATTATATTATATAACACAAACTACGTAAAAAATTAAAGATTCTATAGATTGGTTAGTTAGTATAATAAAAATTATATATCGGGTGACTTTAACCCGGGTGAAAATATAATTTTCCTTTTTTATTTTTTATTTTTTATTTTTTATTTTTAGAGTTTAACACTAATGGTTCTATCTAGGATGTGTCGGCGGAAATGAAAATTCAAGGGTTATGCCTTTAGTTTTTGCCTTGATGTCAAGTAAATCTGAGGAATTTTATAGAAGGTTATTTCAGAGATTGATTGATTTCGGTGAAGAATATGGTATTTATTTGAGTCCACAAGTGGTTTTGACTGATTTCGAAATGGCCGCTATAAGCGCTATTCAATTAGAGTTTGAAGAAGTTCAATGTAAGGGCTGCCATTTTCATTTGGCGCAAAGCGTTTATCGTAGGATCCAAACGTCCGGCCTAGTTACAAGATATGGAACAGATGAAGATTTTAGTTTACTTATTAGGCATATTCCTGCCCTTGCCTTTCTCCCTCATAATGAAATACCCCAAGCATTC